GGTTGGGTTTAGAAAGCATGGATAGCAGTTTCAAGATGTAGCACTTCGTGTTTCACCTATAACGCTTGTGGCTTGATTGCATGGAGGATAGTGGTTCTTGTATAAGTCAAACCCCTCTACCAAGTCACATTGGTTCAAGTCTCTTCCATTTTATCATAGTTCATTGCTTAAATGTGTCAGGCATGGATATATTCAGGATGGATATACAGATATGATGCACTCGTCCATACACACACACATCCAACATGCTTGCATGCATGCATATGCCCCTGCACATATACACATTTATGCGTTCACACAAACACCCACATACAGACGCACGTCCACACATGCTTGATGCATCCTCATGTATGTACTTAGGTACACACACAACCAAGGGCTTGGAGAAATAATGTCATTGCTCTATATTCCCTAACATTTTTGGGCAATGGTAGCTTTCATCCTGCATAATGGCAAAAATATAGCACAAGCTAAGGACGGCATCAACATTAGGCTGCCTACACTCATTTCATGCCCTCATATGATATGTCAAGCCTAATGTTAATACAAAGTTAACGTTTGCTTTAGAGAATATTTCTTCCATTGCGTTTGTAAAATGTGGAAACCACCCTAGTCCTAAAATGCCTTGCATTACAGAGTAAGGACATTACTTTGTTCAAAAATATTACGTAGGCCTGCTTAGTTCACAAGCCCCAGAAAACATCAGCAAGTCTATATCATGTCATGATAATTTATCACTGAACACAAATCCATAATAAAGCAGCACAAAAGTGAGAAGAGAATAAAGGAGTCTGGAAAAAGATAGAATATTCAGTGGTTATGTTCTTCTTTCGACTGATCAAATTATCACATTTAAACCTTCAAAAACATAGACTAGGAGTATTCATCATGTTTTAACATTAAAAGAAGGGTAGAGGTTCGAGGTGGCAAAATGGAGCACAAGGAGCCCCTTGTCAATAATTGACAATATAATTTAAAACTTAGCAACGGCTTTCGTGCTAATTATTTTGTCTTGCTTTCAAGCCAGTGAAGACAAGCAAGAAAATGGATGCACATTAGCGCACCGGGTTTCCATCATATCACAGCCGGTACATTGGGTATATTAGCAGGTCTATTCCATCTCTACAAAGGGACTGGAGTAAGCTATCATAAGACAAAAGATATTCTTTCTAAAGTGATTCGGAACTTTTATATATCCAAGGTCCAATATTAAAAACATTTCAGAGGTTTTCCCGGACTTTGTCCAGGGAAAGGGCCCTTATGAAACAAGGCTAATAGAATCTACATAAGGGGAAAACAATTTTGTCATGTTGTTCGTCTAGCGCAGCAGCCGGCCCACTAACATCTCGAGACCCCAAGCTGGAGATTTATATAGTTCACTTTTCGTAGTCTATAAGGATCAGACACAAATATTCTAGGAACATAAAAACCTGTGACATGAAATGCACTAAACCTAAAGTAAGTGGAAAGGATTGGAAAGATAATTTTATTATTTTCTTACCAAGAACAAGACCTATCCCAACAATATTTTTTTTAGTGGGGCGATACCTCTAGAAAGATAAATTACCTATCTTTTCTTCCATCTTGAGATAAATACGATCATAATGAGCTAAGTCAAATCCTTGTCCAGAAGTACCTGCTACGGAACTACCGAGTAGGGGCAAAATGATTATAAGTAGATACATCAGATCGAGTATGGAGACAATAAAAAATCTGGCAGCGACAGAGCAGCCTGTGTCAGCAAAACAAAAGGAACAACCCACCTGCCATAAGGCTAGGCACCCCTCCTCCGTGTCAAGTCATGTCATGTCATTTTTTGTACCTAAATTACTGACACCCTCTCTTATTCATTATATAAAAGACCGAGAAGTAAACACATATATTCTTTACCTCCTTATGCATTCATAGCACAAGACTTTACTATTCAAGCTGCATTATATACTCATCACCAATACATCACAAGCTTCATCATGATAGGGTCCTTTGATCATGGAGCTATATTCTGCATTAGATATTACAATCTGGAACATAATGAAAGCATGATAGAAAAGACTTGGACTTGCATCTCCGTTTGAGATTTTGCATATGGGGGAGGCTTTTTTTGTCCTGGCTATCGAGGAAAGATTATATAGGAAGTGGTGATAAACAAGATAATACTCAATATTCGAGCCATAGACTTTCTCAATTCTGACACAAGGTACTTAATTATTTATTGGATCTAATAGAATGACTATAACCAGAATAATATCAATCCAATATATAGGCCATATCCATTTCTTTATATCTTGGCTCCTATGAAGTCTCTTTCTTTGCTATACTTGATAAAAATTGTTACTTTTATTTTGGCAACCTAATCACTCTTCTGGTTTTGGAATGAATCTTCTTTTTCAGTACACTGTTCTATACCCACTTTGTTGCCTCTCATGATCCTGAGTGAGACAATCTGTCAGGTTTTTTCATGGTCGTTGGTCCCCGACCAACTTTGACAAAGAAATGACTAAATCTAGCTCTCGGTTGTGAGTAGTTAGGGCTACCTAGCATTTAGATCCAAGTGCTTATCTTACTTTATTGGCATATGCATAATAAGCTTTGGTGCTCGAGAAGACCGCCAGAGAGTCATCATTGACCCTCCGTCCTCGAGGGCTTTAGTCCAACATATAATACCTCACAAAGATCAATTGAGTACTTATTGATGTATATTGCTTACTCTCTCAACATAGCAACATGAGGGACTTTTCCGCCGTCCGGGGCCAGCTCTAGACGAGAGTGCAATGCGGATCAGCTATGATAGGACCTCTTGGATCACATGAAATAGCCCCATAGCCCAAAGAGAGTGATATGTCCTGCACACACCAAATGAAGGAATACAACACATTCGCAGTTTGCAAACCTCTTTTGTCACCTTTCGACATCCCTTCGTCGATTCATTTGCATTTGCCACTGGGACCAAGACATAACTTTTGCGAAAGAAAAGTTGATTGTGATCTTTTTGTTCAAATAACAATTAAGGTGAAGCATAACCATGAACTACGAATCTCTTTATGACAAACAAATCCATTTTGCGAGCTCGTTATTACAGGTAGTTCCTACAAAGGATCAAACTAATGACGTATACAATACTTGAATTATCGATGTAGATGCTACATAGTTGGTTCTCATCTTCAGAGACTATGAATATAATAAGAGCATCCGTCGACAAAAAGATCGCCCTAAGATGATCATCCCATGCTATTGAGAACGAATCAAAACAGATGGTTCTATTTCTCAATACTAGTTAGAGTGTCTTGGAGGGTTTGCTTGTCATTAATCAAAATGAACACCTTTTGTGGTAAGAAAGGGGACAAGGACGACCTACCCTTTATATGCGATTTACATAGAAAGATAGAAAGAGGTGAGGTTTTTGCGATATGTGTGATGCGCTATGAGGTGAAATGTGGCGCATATATGGGTGTGTCCCGCCAAAGCGCATATGCACTCTTTTGCAATGCGCCTCCTAGCGCATACCACAAGATACAGTCGCATTTTAATACAATGATTAGACATGTTGCATTTATTATATGCCGGAAACAAATTGGCCATCCACTTTTTTCCCTCATCAGGGATGGTGGAGATGACCTCATATTTTACTTTTAACTCTATTATGGTCTGTAAGTCGAACAATGGTTCATCTCAATTGTTCGTAGATGATGACAACAATGGAGGGCTAGTCTATATTGCATATATTATACACATGTATAGTATGTGGATTGTTTCCAAAGACGAAAATTTAATTTGTGCTGCAATTATTTTGTGAGAGAGAGAGATCACTTGACTCATTTTTTTATGCAACCACTGTCTTGTAAATTATACTTCTCAAGTAACAACATGTTTTTTCCCTTGGATCTTTTAAACGAAACTGTGTTTTTCCTTCCATAAAAAGAAAATTGAGGCGCGGAAGTTCAAGGTAAATGTTACTGAGAAACCCCTACAAGTTGTTGATAAAACTCCAAGCCAAGGAGTTCAACTTCATTGATAGCCCACACAAAGTCTGTCACGATCCCGTTCCATACCGTCCCCGTCGGACCTATGGGCCCTTCGGAGAATCATAGGGCGTGGGGTCACGACCATTGGGACCTACGCTTGTCCTCTTTTGGTTGAAAAAATGAATAACTCTATGAAATCGTGAAAATGCTAGCATTTATTTTAAATGAACATTTTGCAAATGCAGTCAGTTTTGACGATTAAAAATATTCAATAGAAACTGAAATAAATTTCTTTCAAATAAAGTTGTAAATGTGCTGGCGTTCCTTTTGAATGAATATCTCCAAATATTTTTCCTAATATTATGAACTTTTCACCGTGAATAATTTCACTCGCAAACTTAGGCCTACTTGCTAACAACAAAAGGAAAAATTTAGGAATCTTCAATTCAATTTGAGTAAAAAGAAGTATCCTATGACCCTTCAATATTTGGATCGGTGATAACACATATTGGTTTAGTAGTCGTTATATCCGTTTGGGTGAAGGAATAACTGTATAATGCGCTTCCGCGGGAGTACGCTATACAGGCTCAAAAAATAAAACAAAAATCACCACGTTCCCGCTCTCGAGGCGTCCCGGTGAAGGAATTCATTTCCCGCCTTCTATTTTTCCTTTTTTTCACTTATTCAAAACGTTTTTCTCTCTGTCTCTCCACCTCCGGTACATCCCGTTTCGGTTCCCATCACTGGTTTGGTTATCTGCCTTCACAAAGGTATAAATTATCCCATAACAAAGACAATGGTTATCGATTTCATAATTGGACGTTGAATCTATTTCATATGATGGGAGTTGCTGGAGTGGAGTATAGGTGCTGCTCTGCTATGCGCTATTCATGGTGCTACCGTATCAAAGACTTGATTTGAAGATGGACAAAGACCTCTCTCTCTCTCTCTCCGGCTCCACAACTTCCATTAAAAAACCCTTAGCCCCTTGTTAAACTTAAAACCATGGCTGGAAAATTCATCCTCCAAACCCTAGCTCCCTCTCTAACTTTATACAGAAACCTTATCGATGCATTTCGCTTTTGAAGTTATTATCAAACCTTTTCTCTTCAGTTTCCCTTGTATTGAAACCCTAAAAAGATGTTTTATTCTCACTACATTCTCGCCCGAAAGGGCCCTCTTGGAGCCGTATGGATGGCTGCGCATCTCCAGCACAAGCTTCGCAAGTCTCAAGTTGCGGAGACCAACATCTCTTCTTCTGTTGGTATATACTCTTCTGATTCTTGCTTATCTCATGGTTTTTGATGAATTAACTAATTTTGAATGATATCATGATGAAGCATCTGATGCTGTATATTTGCTTTTTGAATTGAAATTGTTGCTTGATGAATATGGTATCTGAAATGTGTGCATCCATTATTTTTTGCAAGACTAGATTGTAAGAAACATGTGTGATGCTACTTGTTTTTAGTCATGCACCCTAGAGACTTGTTTGATACCAGAATTTCAGTTGAAATCTTCCCAGTTCATAAAAAAAAAAGGGTTAAATTTTGGGAATTGGTTTAATAATTATTTTGAATACAGGTAGGACAAACAAAAATACATAGACAAACAATCTGAAATTTGGAATATGTATAGGCCATGTATCAGAAGTATGGTAAAAATTTATGCTAAAAATTCCACATTTTTTTCAATTTCTAACCCCTATAATGAAAAGAAAGAATTTTTAACAAATTTTGGTTGGTTTCTGGTTGGAATCCTGTGAGGGTTATGGGTATCAGAATCACTTGCCTATTGCATGAAAATATTGGGATAGAATACCATTTAGAGCTGTTCTATTGATGGTTTCTATCTTATTCTTTTTCTCGGAATTAACATGCATTTCAGGTAAAATTCACGAATCCTTTGTCTAATAATTGGATGGCTTTACCCCTTTATTTTTGACATTGGTTTGTATATGTTGGTGTTTTTAGTTATTTTTTATGAGTTTGTTAATGTTGCCATGTTGTGTTCAGCATCAGACCTTAGTTTTTCCCATTTATCTCACTTTAAATATTCTTCCTTTTTCCCTACTTAACTCTATTTCCTTTTTTTTTTTCTTTTTATAATTTTTTCTTTTTGGTTTTTCAGATTCAATCATGTTGTCTGAAGTCCCCATTGCACTAAGGTTATCAGGGCACCTCCTACTGGGTGTTGTTCGGATATATTCAAAGAAAGTTGACTATCTTTACCATGACTGCAATGAGGCCTTATCTAAATTACGAAGTACCATTGCCTCAATACATGTTGACCTTCCTGCATATGCATCGTGTGCAGCATTCAGCTCTGTCACTTTGCCTAACACATTTCAACTTGATGCTTTGGATATGGATTACCACACAGCAGAGTGAGATTTCCTTCTACCTGGATTTCATGAGAAGAAAATTGTTCACCGCTTGAAATATCCACACCAACATGAATGTTGGGCTTTAAGTTTATAAATGTTATGGATGGAATTCTTTCCAGACTTTGCATATTTATTCTTTCACACTAGCTTGTAATTGTTTTTTTGTCATATGTTATGTATTTATTCTGGAACATTAGTTTATTTATGTGTTGTCATTTGTCAGGGCACCAGATAATCATCTCAAACCTCATGATCAGATCACTATATCAGGTTTTTTTTTTTTTTGGCTCAGACTATGCAGATTGGTTTGTCAATTCATGGTTTTCTCTGCAAGACTATGTTGGTCATCATATAATTTTTTTTTTTCTTGGCCCTATTCAGATCAGGTTCCTGGTGAAGGAAGTCCATACACAAAATTTTTTGTGAATGAGGTATTTCAAATTATTGAACAACAATCCATCTCTGTATCATTTATGACTTATTTCAAATCTAATCTGGTATATGATACTCCATTGCTGCATCCAGCATACATTCTCATTGGTGGTTGGTTGCAAATTAATTTCATATGGTTCCATAGTTATCTCCAATCACCTATGATTGGGAATGTAGAATCGATATAACTTGATACCAAGTCCCTTGAATGATGACGTACTGACCCATGATAAAAAAGAATCTACCTAGAATAATGTGATGATGCCCATTGTTACTTGTGAACTATGTAATGATGCCTGAATTCGGATATGGACATGGCCACAACATCAGTTTATTGTGAAATCCATATGTTTTTTAAGTGTCCAACATGGATACAACAGCCATTTTGACGCACATTGTGCACCATAGTTTGTGAAGATCTCCACATTAAAGTATTCTTATAATGTCATGAATGTGTTTGGCACTTGCATGAAGCATGCACATCCTATTATTTTCATGGATCTAAATGCGTGAATTTTCAGGATTTTCGAGGTATGAGTTCCCAATTTGGGTTCCAAGATTTCGGGATGACGATAATTGAAGAAGAGTATGTCTACCCATTCCTGCGATCCTTTTATTCATCTTTTTCAATGTGTTCTTTTTCTAAAGTCTAGCATATGGTTCTCTAAAGGGGCAGCGACCCTCTTGTTCTTAATAAAGGATGGTAGATATTACATATACCTGGTTGCATTTTGTGATGTACCTAACTATGATTAATCTCTAATTTAACTGATGGTGGATGGTCCATCAATGAATTATGTATCATCACTTAATGAATGTATGGTATAGTCACCCACAAAAGAAATAATATCATTTCACGGACCGAATCTCCAAGTCACATTTATTTGTACAAATATTAATATGGTTTGTTTCATGACAGTGTTCTTCGTCCTTCAATAAATACTAGTGTGGGCATGGCTGGAATTGATCCTCAACAAAGTCTTGAAGATACTAATAATAGAATTTTGGAAGATCAGTTTTTCCATGAAACCCCAGAACTTCAGCGTGATGTGGTCCAACCATTGCCCTCCAACCCTGTAATGAATGACCTTGCTGGATTTTCTGTACCACAAAATAAACATGTTGATCATGTCATAGATGAGGCATATGTGCCAGACATAGTTGAAGCTCCTGTTCTTGAAGCCGGGCTATTTCATCCCGGTTCTGGTTTGGCTACATTTTCAGGTTGGCTACTATCCATTTTTTGCTTTGGAATTTCATGCAAATTCTATATTTTCAACATCAAAACCATGTTTTTCTCTAAGGAATTTACACTTGGGTTTCAACAAATTCTGATGCCCATGTATTGAGTCATCAGTGTATCATCTTCTGAGTGACGTTGGTTGTTTTTCTTGACTTTGTTTTTGTTTTTTTTTTTGGGGGCGGGGGGGAAGGGGGTGTGATCTGTGGGGTCTAATACCTCTTTGAAGGTTTCCTATTAATATTTTTTTTTGTTTTTGTATTTTTTGAGTTTCTTTATGTTTTATATCTTTAACTTCAAAGCCACATCTATTTAGTTTACATTGGGTTCTCTTTTAGAGCAACTTATGATTCCTGTGTGATAGTTATTAGTATGTCTTCTCTATATTAAAGTTACTTTTTATGATATAGGGGCAAAGATACGTACACCAGAGATTCTTCCAAGCCCTCCTTCAGGTTGGCTCACTATCCTACACTTTTGTCTTTTTTGGGGTAATTTATTATTGTGAACATCAAAACCATGTTTTTCCTCTGAAATTTATATTTGATTCTCTTAACAACTTCGTGATTCCCGTGTGATACTCATGCGTGTCTTCTATTGATCGAAGTTACTTTTTACGTTTCAGGGGCCAAGATACCAACACCAGAGATTCTTCCAAGTGCTCCTTCAGGTTGGCTAACTATCCTATGTTTTGTTTTCTTTTGGGCATAAATTTTAATTTTGTAAACATCAAAACAATTTATTTCCTTTATGAATTTACACTTGATCTCTTTGTAGCAAATTATGATGCTTGTGTAAGAGTCTATCATGCATCTTCTTCTCTCCATTGAAGTTGCTTGTTATGATTCAGGGGCAATATGGAAATTATTTTTTCTTGAAATTAACTTTTTTTATTTTTTAAAATATATTATTGTTCTATTGTTGATGATTTTTTTTATTTTAATTTGTAAATTCAATATTGTGAACATCAAAATCATGTTTATCCTTTATAGAATTTGCATTTATTTTCTCTTTTACAAATTATTATGCTCATGTAAAAGTTGTGGACATATTTTATGTTGATTTAAGTTGCTTTTTATGATTCAGAGGGCACAATTAAGATGGCTTCAAGTCCTCCTGTTCAGAACATAAATCGGAGATCAAGGAAGAGGAAGCAGTTTGATGAAGTCATTGTATTGTCTAATGAGTAAGTTATGGAGAGGAACCTGATCTCTATTTTTTCTTTCTCTAATCAACTAAGCATTGTCCACTTTGTGAGACATATGCAGCATATTCTAAGTGTCTATGTACTAATTCTAATTCATTTTTTGCTTCTCTGTTTGCAACATAAATAACAAAGTTCTCATTTTCTATTTTACCCTAATGGATTTATGATATGATGCTCTCCTTGGAATTTGCAGGGACATGAAAATGCAACTGCAAGATGCAAGCAAACTTGTGCGTAAACGTAAGAAATGCCCAGTTTCAATTCTAGATGTTCGGGAGGCCTACAAGAGCTCTCACATGGATCAGATTTTCCTTGAGCCCTCAATACCTGGCATGTTTCTTTGGCACTATATACATTATTTCTCTTTTATCATGTTCTCAATAATAAGAGCTGCCCTAACCAATGATTAGTTGAAGTTACTAATTAAACAAAAAGTTTGATTCTTAAATGAATATTAAAACCAATATATCAATGGAGAGACCAATCAATTGATGCTATATGAAATGTTTATTTCAGACTTGTGCATGCCTCTCCAAGAAGCATTCAAAAAAGTGTTGCTTGCTCCCAAGGTTGCAGGGCCTTCTGTGGAGGATCCACAAGGTCCCAAAAGAGTTCAATCTCCTGATGGCCCTTCTTCTATACCAAATGAAGAAATTGAGGAGGCTTTTGTGGAGGATCGACAAGAGATCACAAGAGCTCCATCGCCTGCTGGTCGATCAACTAGGGCTGTGCCAAATGAAGAAACTAGACAGGTTCCTATTGAGGACCCACAAGAAGGCATAAGAGCTCCATCTTGTGCTCACACACCATCTACTCCCAGTGAAGAAATTGATAGCTTCCCCCAACTGCCATATCCTTTTCCAAGAATAGGGGACTCCACTTATGAAATTCCTCACACTGTGGGATCAACGTTACCTAGCGGAATGACTTTGGAAACTGAGAATATGGAGTGGGAACCTCCATCTGCTGACCTGCTTGAAGCATCAGCTGCTGATCAAGAGGAGCAGCTACGTGTTATTGAGACACCAGAGGTGAGGTTTGATCCATTGGAAATGGAAGTCTGCTGACCACTTTTCTGTCATGATTTGTTAAATAAAAGAAATATAACTGCCATAATATGACTATTGCTAATGGTCAAAAGATTTCATTATGAAACTTTTGACATTCATATTCAGGCCATTTCAGTGGGTTGTATTTTTTAGAGCATCATACTCTTAAGGAGCTAAAACCCTTCTAAAACAATGAAGCCACCTCTCTTTGGTAACAGAAATGAAATTTCAATTTAACTGCTCCTCGTATATGAACCCTTAAACAAAAAGACTCCTTTCCACGTTATTACTTCAACTGCTAACATTTCTAAAGTTGGGCATAGTTTCCATAAATGGATTGTTGTAAAAAGACAGGAGAGAAACTGCCATTTTTGAATACCCTTTCGAGTGTTTTTCCATACATGCCATCACACATTGTCGTGTGTGCCCTTGAAGTTTCTGGCTCTATGTGTGTTTGTGTGGGCTGGTGTGTGAGTGCATGTGCACATGTATGTGTGCATAGGTGTGTGCGTGTGTGTGTTTTTATTTGTCTTTGGTACTTGGGCCCTTGAATTGGAATAGAAAACTGAAAAGAAATCTGCAAAATTGATAACAAAGAGCATGCCTATGTGAACGGTGAGGAACTGTTTTTTTTTGCTCGCTGTGAGTTCTATTGCTCTATGGAATAATGTTCTTGGGATCTGCTGGACTCTAAATTATACTACTCTTTTGTAGGACCTAAGCTTTTTGAAGGCAGATGCTGGTCAATCAGGTAAATGCAAATGCACTGCCTCTGAAAGTGATTTCAGATGAATGGCTTATTATGAAGGGGAAATTTATCATTGTCCAATGGACTATGGCTTACCATAGTCCAGTGGGATCATGAACCTCCTATGGAATGTATGGCAATGGAGACAGAGTGGGTCCTACCACAAAATGAGTACATGATCGCAGGTGGTGAGTCCCACCTTACATGCATTTCACTGGATGGTTATGACCCCAATGCCCTATGATTTTCCATACTCACTTGGACAAAAGTATATTGAGAAATCACATGGCGTGTGATGATTGCCATTTAGTTTAGCGTTAAATCTTGGTGTGTATTGCAATCAGTTTGGGAGGACATGGGGGCCATATTTTAAATTCGGATTTATCAATCTAACTTGATTTGTGGCTTTGTTCTCTTGTAGAGGGACCTAGAGAAGATGGTGTGCATACCTGGTCTGTGAGGACCAGGTAAGTATTTCCTTTTGTACAAGTTTTGTTTTGGGATGTTTCCTATTTTTGATGTAAACCTGATAGCTGCTTGGTATTGGCACAGGGCAGTTGCACAATATCTACAGAAAGCCTTTCAATCCGAGAGTTCAAAAAGACCTTTAAGAAATCTAAGCTTGAACAGAATTATTGAAGGAAGAACAAGAAATGAGTGTGCCAAACTGTTCTTTGAAACTTTGGTAATCTTCATATGCTTTGTTTTGAGTTCTTCTCAAGTAACCTTCAACCTATTCCATTTCATTATCTCAAACAATTTCATTGTACGTGTGTATCTATTTGGTTATTGGACCTTATACAACCTTAATTCTTATAAAATAGGAAGGTTAAAGGTATTGTTAGTTTACATCCAATTGCTCTTTCTACATGCATAAATGCAATTTCTTTTCTACTTCAGCTAGTGGTGTTCTTGGTAAGTTTGGGCCTGCCTTAGTGTGCAAGATTTTGGATCAAAGCACAGATTCCTAACCTTTAGAAAGTTGCAGGTTTTGAAGAGCAATGCATTTATTGAAGTGCAACAAGAAGAACCTTATGGTGATATAAACCTTTCAATGGCTCCTAGACTGGCAAAGGGAAAGTTTTGAATCCTTTGCCTTGTCAATTATGCATAATGACCCTCCATATCAGGTGAAATTGCGACTCAGCTTTTTTCAAAAATCCTCTTTCAACAATTCACCTCTTAGATTTAGTCATGTTGAAACTCAAAGTTGTTTATTTCCCTTCATTGTTATTCTAAAATATTAATAAATTATTTTCTTCATTGTTATTCTAGAATATTAATATTTAAACATGGAATGCAGCTAAACTCTAGCAACTGGTGCCCAAAATTGAGGTGTGCTCTTGGTAGGTGGAAAATTGGCTCAACTAACAGCTTGATTGCCAAGCATTTCCATGCCAAGAGTTCTTATGTTTAAAGAAAGGTTGTTAGGTTGTGCTAGATGGTGTAAATTACTCTCTTTTTCAAAATTGGCTATCTATCTATGATTTATCTATTTAATGTAAATTCTCACTCTCTTTCTCTCTCTCTCTCTCATGTGATTTTGTAAGATGTTCCATTGCTAGGAAAGTACTTTTTGGTGCTGAGATAATTTTCATTTAAGAAAGCATGGAGGCAAGAGTTGCTCCATTGGGTGTCACATTTAAGCTTTTATGTTTCTCTACTCTGGTTCCTAACAGTATGTGGGAGAGAGAGAGAAAGAGAGAGAGGGGGAAATATCCTTTCCCACGTGAAGCCGGGTAGTTAGGGCTATGCATTTGATTGTAGCACTTGTTATGGTCAATCTATTAAGAGAAAAGTTTGAATACGGTTGCATCCTTATCATAACACCTAAGGATGCACCCTTATCAATCGTCCAATAAATTAGACGGTTGAGATGTTGACCCAAACCTCAAGAAAGTATTTAATCAACCGGCAACCTCTGGTTCCTTTTTTTTATCTTCAGTTCCCTCCATTTCTCTCTCTACAAACCATTTCCCTCCGTACAGTTTTCTCTCTCACGCTCTCTTTACCCTCTTATCCCAAGCTGTGCCTGCTATTTTTACCATCGTCCCCTTTCTCTCTCTCTACCCCCTCATCCCGAGTTTGGTGGCTTCAGTCATTTCCACCATGTCTCTCTCCTGATTCCTTTGCCAGCTCCTCCACTTTGCGCTCATCACTTTTCTTAACATTGTCTTCCTCCTTGGTAACGTCTGTTGCCTTGACATATTCATCCACTTTGGGCAAATCACTTATCACCAAGTTCCTGAGACTAGTTGTTACGTCCTCCTATTGTTGCTGGAGAGTGTTCCTCAATTCTTGAAATTCCGATCTAAGTTGCTCAACTTCAAGATTAAGTGTTTTCTTCAACTCAGAGAGTTCATCATGGTAAGTCTTAACTTGTGAGTCCAATTTTGATCTCCACTCTTGCATATCCTGTTTCAGCCCTTGAATTCGTGTCAACAACTCTGTCTTGGACTTGTTCAGATTCGCTATTTTTGAACTTTTAGGAACCAAATTCTCTTTTTTCTGAGAAAAGGAAGGGGAAGAAGACTTTGAATCTGCCATTAATGTCTGACGGAGATCTTGAAGTAGAAGGCTTGAGGCTTTTGGAAGCTCTCTCTATCCCTCATGTTAAGTTGTGGCAGGGGAAGCCATCTGGGTGGATTGCTTGGTTGTTTGGAGGTGTTACATGGCCTACAACAGAACAGTTCTATGCATTGATGGGTCTTGAAGGATTGATGGGTCTTGAAGTGGACGATGTAGGAAAAATTACGGTAAAATATTTTACTGATTTGTGAAGCAGGGTTTTGGGAAGTACTCTGGTTGTGTAGTTTCAGGTGCTATGGATCCACCCAAATTTGCTTTCAGATGGATAACCATTGAAATATCTTTAAGATCATTCATCTATGAAACCATGGATTTCAGATTACTTGTTTGTGATTTTTGCCATTGAAGTATTTGACATTTAGTTTGGCATCTCCTTGATCTCTAAATTGGGAGATGTGTCTGTCTCTTTCCCCTTATCCCAAGTTGTGGTATTAGTAGACATTTCTACCATTGTGCATCTCTCTCTCTGTTCCACAAAAAATATATATTCATGGACTAAAGAAAAAGGGAGGCAAAAGAAGAAAATGGAAGAGATAAATGTTGTATTCAGCATGTGTTAGCAAAGGTTCCTTTAGGAAGCCCTTGTCTCTCTCTATCTTGTTTTGTAGGTATGACACTTTTCTCTCTCTATTTGATTTTGATTGTGTTAGCTTCCTCCCAAAATAAATGTTTTAGGTTTTCTTTTTATCTATTTTTTGTTATGTTTGTAGTTTTTGAATTTAGTTAGTTATTATATATTCTATTTTTGGTTGGATCTAATGTAGGTGAATCTACATACAAAGTGAAAATGATTCATTGTCATCTTTCTTTTTGGCAATTTTTTTTTTGCCATTGTATTTGATAGGGTTTCTTATTGTCTTTAGATATTTAAGAGATGTAATGGGCTTGTGATGATAGCTAGTGATGATTTTTTAATAGACCATATAAACAACAAACAATTGACTATTAATAAGTATTTTCCAAAATGAGGATTGAATATGTATTTGTTGTCTTTAAATGATTTTAGCATTCTATCTTAACAACAACAGAAATATTTCTACAGATATTCTATGTTGTCATAAGATGATGTTGTCATAAGTAGTACCATCTATGAGTGCTTTTTAACACCCTTCTAATATTTTATGTTTAATATTTATAAATTCGAGGATATTGTTTATTTTGAAAAAGATAACCACTAAATAATATTAATAGTGTTACAGAGTAACGATAGATTGCTAAAGAGTAATATGAGTGATGATGGCAATTGTTGTAATGGGAGAAAAGTATTTAATGCTAGCTTTGGGATTTTCTAAATAATTATATGATTTAAAGTTGGTAGATGAATCTTCTGATTATTTTTTCCTTTTATGTTATGGATTTATAAAATAGAATGGACATGAACTTGAACACGAGGTGTGCAATTGACTTAGAGTTAGGAAGTAATTCAGTTGGTAGTGGGACAGAGACAAGTACGAAGGTAGAAACTCCTATTGAAGATTACCCAATAGAGGTGGACTATGATGATTTTGGTTGTTGCAATGAAATGAAGGATATCAATGATTTCGACAGTGATGGCAGCAACAAGTTTGATGTATATCAAGATACAGAAGATGCATATGAGACTAACATGGATGAGCCCCAAGGTTTTGAATTTTGTGATAATGTCCCAAAAGAGGGTATGCGATTTGAATCCCATAAAGCTGCATTTGACTTTTATAACAAATATGCAAAGTGTTAGGTATTCTTCGACACGTCGATCAAGGAAAGATGGGTCACTCATTGCTCGTGAGTATGTATGTTCAAAATAAGGTTTTCAACATAAGAAATACGAGGGGAATCGGTCACGGCCCCAAACAAGGACAGGGTGCAAAGCCTTACTAAGAATAAAAAAGAATGAAGATGGTGTATGGATCATTGTGATGTATGATAAAGAATATTCTCATGCCTTAACTTCACCATCCAAAGTTCATCTCCTTCGGTCACATCGCCAAATTCCAGAGCTCACCAGATGAATGATCCATATGAATAACTCATGTAGATTAATTGCACCAAAGATAACACAAGTGCTTAGTACTTAGGCTGGCGGCCCAAGGGGTCTCCGTTTTATGAAATAGATTGCAAGAATGAAATCTACAGAAGTCAAAAAATTAAAGTTGATAGGAGGGGATGCAAAGGGGTTGATGGAGTTCTTTGTTACTAAGATTGTCGAAAACCCTTTATTTGCCTATAGAATGCAAGTTGATGAAGAAGGGCACCTAAGCAATGTACTATGGATTGATGCAAAATCGAGGATTGCTTATGAGTTATTTGGGGATGTCATCACATTCGATACCACATACAAAACTAATATCTATCAGATGCCATGTGCCCCAATTTTAGGAGTGAATCACTACATAAAGACTATATTCTTAGGTTGTGCCTTGCTCCATAAAGAAGATGATGAGTCTTTTACATGGCTATTTACAAAGTGGCTTAAGGTGATGAATGGGTATCAACCCAAGTCAATTGTCACAGACTAAGACAAAGCAATGGCCCTTGCAATAAAAAAGGTATTCCCAGAGTTTCGACATCGCTTGTGTAGATGGCATATTACACAAAAGTTTGAGCAAAAAATGGCACAAGCTGAGTGCAAACATCCATCCTTTCATGCATAATTCTATAAATGTATTGACCAGTGCACCACCATAAATGAATTTGAAGACACATGGCCAAGAATGATAGAAAAATATGATTTAAAGAATAATGAATGGTTGCAGTCTTTGCATGAAATTCGCCATCAGTGGGTAGATGCATATTTACAAGATTGCTTCTTTGCTGGCAATAGGACAAGTGGAAGAAGTGAAGCTATGAACACAGACATCAAGGCATATGTGAATTCACATACTAACTTGACTACATTTGTAGGCAAACTACAATAATTAATTGAAAAAAGTTTTGATGATGAAAACATTGCAGTCTTTAAATCTCATAACGAGACACCAGTTATGAAGACTGCCTCTCGCATGGAGAAGCAGATGGCTGAAATTGATACCCCAACTATCTTTTTGAACTTCTTTCAGCCAAAGTTGATGGAAACCATTAATCTTATTTGTGAAGTCCAAGAGGAAGATGAGGTGGTATGCACATTTAGTTTGAAAGAATATGGGGTATGTTGCAGAGCTCACATGGTCGCATTCAGAAACACTGAGGAGAAAGCAACATGTAGTTGTCATCTATATGAGCGAATGGGTATCCCTTGTAGTCATATGCTTAGGGTGTTTCTTCTAAAAAATATTATTGAATTACCCCAACAATATATAATGAAAAGATGGACAAAAAATGTTACAAAGGGGATTGGTCATAATGATTGTGGAATTCAAGTACAATCCAACTGTGAGGATACTTATTCAACACTCTACAATGACTTATTTCGACGTTGCAACATTCTATCAGTAAATGGTGCAGTGAATGTGGGTTTGTATGAGTATGCAAAGATGGCTATAGATGAGGCATGTGATAAGGTTGCTGCTAGAATTGAAATGGAAAAGGATTCTGCAATACAAGCATCTTCTTCCCATAGTAGCCTTGCATACACAGGATCCCCTTGTGTGACTCCCATCCTCTTTGTGGTTTAAAATCCACATGTGACTAAAGGTTCCAATTTATGCAAAGCTAAAGGAGCGGCCTAGCCCTTCAAGTTTGAAACCTACGCGTAAGGAGAGAAAGAGTAAAAGAAAGTGCAAGGGATGTGGGGTTATAGGTCATGATAGACGTAAATGTCCCTCTTTGTGCAACACACGGTATGATATGTCATTTTTTGTACTTGTGAGCTTAAGTTTTTAAATCTTGTTGTCTATAAACTAATGCATTGTTTCTATTTTAAAAACTCGAGTTTAGTTGTGAATGTTTGCATGTCTATTTGCTACTTTTCAAACTCTAAAAATTGAATTACTAACTTGCTATTTAGCTTTAAGCAGACCTCCATTTTCTTAGTGCTTACAGTTAAATAGTTGTATGGTGAGTGTAATTCAAATAGGTTTTAATCATGAAATCTTTTTCATGGTAATCCACTATCATTGAGTTGATCCTTGTTTTCTATTTTGGTACAGGGGCGTCACTATTGAAAGCACAATTAACCCCCAAGGGAGGGCGAGTAACACCCAAAATGATGTGGTTAGGGAGCAGCAGTGATTAGCCTTTGAATTGACAATCAATTACATATGCTTTTGATATCTACAACCTTAAGTTTTTTGATGCTTAATTATACATTTTTTTATATGTAATTTTATATATTATTTTATATCTAGTTGTATAGTTTTTTTATATGTAATCATTGCAAAAATGTAAATATAATGCCCTTCAAATACATGGGTATTTTGTATGAACAAGTGGGCAACCTAACTTGAAACTAGATGTTTTGTATGCTTGATGCCTTACAGACTCAAATTTTGCTCTAACTCTCTCTCTCTCACACTTTTAGAATCGTTAATTTTGCTCGTTGTTTCAACATGTAAGGTTCTTCTCCCTCCTCTCGTCACTTAACTTTTTGATAATTCCATACATTTGATGTGGAATTTGCTTTAGATTCGCATGTTTAACCCATGTTGGCAACATCATGTGTATAAGTGCGCTTTCTCAAGGTCTTTCATAATGAAGCACATGAGACCAAGCCTCCTCTCAGTTGTTGCCATTTACCATTCTGAAAGCCATCTCTCTCTCTCTCTCTCTCTCTCGCACATGGATTATGTATGATGTATTTGGTGTTGCTGTTGCAAAGATAGATGAATGTGTATTTGGTGCAGCTATTGTGGAAGATTTTTGGAGAACGTAATAGTTGTTGAGAGTGCTGCTTAAGAATATGTATTTGGTGTGGCAGTTGTGGTAAATGGATATTTTGAGATTGTAGTAGAGGTGGCAGGTGTAGCTTGATATTGTATTTGGTGTGGCAGGTGTGGTAAATAAATATTTTGAGATTGTATTAGAGGTGGTAGGTGTGACTTGATATTGTATTTCGTGTGGTAGGTATGGCTAAATTATGAAGAGGGTGTATTTCTCTTATATTGTGAATGAAATTTTTGCTTGAGGATCTATATTTGGTATGGATGGTGTGGAGGATCTTTTGAGAATGTAATAGCTTATTATGACGTTTTAGTATCCTAATTCAAAATTGTTGATTTATGGCTATCTATACCAATTGATGATGTTGAGTTCTTGTAAATGGACAAGGTTTTGAATATATTTTTCCAATTTAGCCAAGTACCGAAATTTTTTAACATGCTTGTTATGTAGTGCTTTTAAACCCTCTTGAAACCCAAGTGCATATTATTCAATAGCAAGAGTAAGTACATTAAAGATTCAATTATGTTTCATTCGAGTAATATGGATGGTTGCAACGCATTCAATTTCCACTCTTTCAGTTGCTTAATGTTGCCCAAGAAGACAGGATGAAAAATAAGTAGTACTGTAATGAAGGCAAAATAAATGAGAAGTATATATCATATAACTTATAGCATATAATACTCTTTCATTTAGCATGTCCAAATCGAACTTGCTCTAATCAAAATACATATTCATTAAAAAAACAAATATGTAAGAGACTCAAATCTATACACTATATCATCACTTTCTTCGCCTTTGTAATTTTTTTGGCTAGCTAAGTGGAACCTTCCCCTTCTCATTAGCTTCCTTAGCAAGCTTTCCTTACGATGTCGAAAATTCCATTGCGGTTCCTCACATGTGGATTGTGAGGGTGGTGCAAGAACAAACACCTGACAGCTTCAACAACATGGTGTTGTTGTTCGTGCCAATCACTTATCTCCAATTTCAACTCGTCTATCCAACTTGTAGGGCGTCTATTGACCTTCTCCCTCCTATACCACTTTGGAGGTTCAATCGGAATTCCTTACACCTTCCCAAATTGTTTAAGTACGTGGTTGGGCATATCATACTCTGCGATGTTGAACCTTAGTAGGTATGTCAGATACAATATTGTTTCCTTACTACCAAGGTCTAATGCACTATATTCCTCTCCTTTGGCCTACTTGTATGGTACCCAAGTCACCTTATAAAACAAAACATCACACAATAAACACTCATATAAATACATGATTGATGAGTAAACTTACAAATATATAAGTAAATAAACATCCCACTAACCAATGCAGTCTTGTATGGTAACCAAAGGAGCAGCAGAATAAGTTCATTAACTTTAATCAAAATCAAGTAAATAACTTATCAAAATGAAATTTTCAGTTGAGCAAACACTAGCATCTCTCTTGATGACCACATTGATTAATTAATTCAACCAATACATATATATTTTTTCATTAAAACCGATAACATGAGCAAATTATAAAGTTCACATGAATCCTTGATGTGATGAATTACATGAACAACCAGTAAAAATTCATAGCCATGCCATCAACAATCATGGTAAAAAACAAAACAACACCTGTTGAGTTTTAGGTGCTCACACGAAATCTCCATGCCACATGATGAGTTCCCTTCGAAAGCCTCTATATAAGAACATCCTTAAAAACCCAGCTGAATTCATGAATTTTTTCAAACCAAGTGAAATGAATTTCCCTATGTTACATAGATACTTTTATATTCTAAACATGCTAGCATCTTACTGTGAACTGTGATCACATTGATACTCATATTGGATAGTGCTCGGATACTTATATTATAAAATAACAGAACTAATATATATATATATATATAATGAACCTATGAGACCCTCCCACACCGATGTGTGTAGGGTCCCAAAGGATCACCATTAAATTTGACACATATCTTTAGAAAAGTTCTCATATGAGTGTGGGACTTGACTTTTTTAGAGATTTGTGCCAAATTTAATGGTGATCCTTTAAAATCACACACATAGGTGTGGGAGGGTTTCATAGGATCATTACTATATATATATATATATATATATATAGAAAATTCTTCCAATGCCTATAGGTGAAAATAGAACAGTGATTTCACCTACCCTCATACTGTCTAAAGTTCATCGCACGATCACGATTGTTCGGTAGTATTTCATTTTTC